CTATTTAAACTTGAGGAATTTAAAATATCGAATAATTTATTTAAATGGTCGATAAAATCTATTGTTCCAACTGCTGTGCTTGGAAGAAAGCCGAAGGATATTTGAATGCATATGCCTACAGCAACGTGATTACTAAAAACTTGCACGGCAATTTTATTTTCATTTTTTGAGAGCTAGATGATCTTTAGATAATTTTGGGGCTATTTTAATCCACTGCTTACTATCTCGGTTATAAAAATTAACAATATGAGTCCATGAAGCAACTTTCCAAATTCCATATCATATTTCAACAAATTATCGCGAATTTTCTTCATTAAGTGAGCACGAATATATCGAATATATCAAATATATATAGTACTTTGTGTCCGTCAACTAAAAATTTTGAATTCTGTACAGAAATACTTAATTCTCGGGAGAGTTGCATAAAGTTAGAATCTATGTACGAAAAGTGTGTACCATAACATTGCAATCTCGTAGCATACGGATAACATGAAATAGAATAAGTTTCAGTATATTAGATTTATATGTAATTTTGACAAAACAAAAGCAAATAGGAAGTTTCCAATTACCTACAATGCTACGTGCCATAATAACTAAAGCACTTTTTGCAGATAATGATAGTTTCTCATTACCGGTATCTTCAAATCTATTTCATTATTTCATCTTTATTTCATCTTTGGAAATATTATAAAATAAGTGACTTTTGAGACTCATTTTATCTATGCACAAAATGCAATAACGTTCTAATGGTGGCAATGTATTATATATTTAATTTTACAGATAATAAATTGAAAATTTATACCGGGTTTAATTTGCCCTGTTTGTATTATAAATATTTGAAGACTGCGTACAGAAGGTAATGCTAATTGTTTCCTAAATTCTTTATAATTTCGCGGAATTAAGAAATACAAGCATAAAGCGAATTGTTTGAATTCCAAATTATACCGATTTCCTCGTTCACCTTTAATGTGAGCATCAATTTAGGCGAAAAACAATTGTGTAAAATTTGGAGGAAAAAACTTACAGCCTAATTGACTTAAAATTTCATAATTTTTAAGTTTCTTACTTTCTGATTCTACTTTTTTTCTTGAATATTTTATTTCTTCGTCTTTTGTTTTTAGTTCCGCTTCTAATTTTGAAATTCGTTGCTCCAATTTTTTGTTACGAGTTTTCTCTCTTCTCGTCTCACATGTACTGCTACTGGATATGCTCCTATACAAAATATATATCAAAATATGTAATAAAATACGGATAAAATTAAAAAAGAAGATAAAGTATTATAATTACAACTGTAGAAAATAATAAAATTAAAATATTCAAAAATATATAGAAGAAAGCCCCCTATTATAAGATAAGCGCTTAATATGAGATAGCGACGTTTCTGCTAAACTAATAAAAGCTATCTATTAGTTCCACCATGAATTTATTACTCTTGATTGAAAACTATTTAGTAGAAAATTCATTATTAGATCATGCCTGCAGTCGTTGTAAAAAAAGATTTTAGAATTTGGATGTCTTCAAATTTCATTGAGATGAACCTTTAAATCTTGTTTATTATTTAATAAATAAATATTTGGCAATAAATTCTCCATGTAATGAAAGAGTAAAGTTGTACTAATAAAAAAAATATGGGATATGTTAAATTGTTTAATTATAGAAGTTAGATTTAATGATCGTAAAACTTTAAGGAAATCATAATATGAGATACCCAGGGTATTTCTAATATGAAATAACCCATGCTCCTATGTCATAGTGAAAATCGTTGCTAAAGAGTAAATGTTATTGTACAATAATGAAAAGGACAACCAGAATGAATGTTGAATGCCTATTTCTGCGATGCTTGATTCCAACTATCTGAAGACGAATTCTGGGTCTATCGCATATTCATTTTTCACGCACGCTGGTTGTTTGTTTGCATTTTAGAAACATGAAATAAACTTTTATAATTGCAATACAGATATTTTGCATATTACTATCGATTTTTTGGGGCATCTCATATTAAGAGCACAATTTTTTGACTTTGTGATTTGCTCACATTTTACATTTCTTTAATTTAAACAAAAAATAGAATTTGATTTAAATTTTATATAACATTATCTTAAAGCTTATTAAATTCCCTTCAAAATGACCTATTATTTTTTTTAATTTTGCACATAGACGTCTAGCATTTATTCAAAATGAACTTGATATCTCATAATAAGGGTCTTTCCTCTATAAATATGTGAAATATTTATTATATAGGGTGTCTCAAACCACCTTCTTTTATCTTCGCAGGATAAAGTCCAATCAAAAATATGTTCAGACAATAATTTTAGGGTTACATCTATTTATTAGTCCTATTAATTTGACTTTGGGTGAAACTTTTGATCGCCAAAGTCAGATCAAGATCAAATCGATTTTTTTAATGGAAAATGTCTCGTTTTTCATTGTATATTTTTATAATTTATCTCAAAAAGCTTTTCAAAACATTATAACAAAATATTACATCATTAAATATATTTTTTGAATTATAAAGCGAGGAGCAGAGACTCTTGCATAACGCATAACACACTAAGTATACTGACCAATAAAATTACAAATATTCTAATGAATTTGTTCATTTTTGTAATTTTCATCTCATTTTAAAATTCACAATCGATCCCTTGGCAACTAAGCTCTTATTCATATCAATATTATTATTAATATCAATATTTTATAATTATTCATAGATATAATTCGATGATCCCACAAATTATCCACATGCAATCTTTGTCTTATACTTTGATGAATATTAGGGGATTCACTACACACACATTTTTTAGCTTGTATAACAAATAATTATCTTATTCTTTCATCATTTATCTATACTTATCATAGTAAAGATAACACATTTATGATAGCTGATACCTTTATTAAATTGAAGTATTTGTTGTATTATTAATATACTTGTTTATAACGAGAAAGAGCTAAAACTTTAGTACACTGCGGATGCGCCTACAAGCAACAGTTCTATAGTTTCGAAAATATTGTAATATATTATTTACCGGATATATAAAACATAATTGTACACATTAATAGTTTATTAGTAATTTAGTGAAACGTCGTTGTAAGATTGTATGTGCTATTAAAATAATTTTCATTTTTTTCTCCTTTCATTAAGTGTTAATTTAAAAATATATATGTTTGCAGTTCAATTTCTCTGCAAAAAATTTATTATCGAAATATTCAAATTTTAAATTATATATTCAAGTTATTACAAAACAAAATGGGTAACTATACATTATACATATAGGACATAATATTTGATACTGTTCTTCTGTGTAATAAAATTTATAAATAATATCTTTAGGTGGTTCTTCTAGTCAACAGGCGGAACCTGAACAAGAAATTGCAGAAGAAGCAGAATTATCTAATGGAAACGAATCTACAATCAAAACTGTGATAGCTCCACCTACCTTTGCTACAAAAGATGAGTTTGTTAGAATCTGGTTTTCATGGAAAAATGATTTCTTTGTTTATTTAAAGAATATTGACAAAGCTAAAGACAAAAAACAAATGTGGGGTTTCATGCTTTTAAATCGTATGGGTCCTGTTGGTCAAGAAATTCATAGAACATTTCATTTCTACGGAGAAGACAAAAATACATTGGATATAGACATATTAATAAAGAAATTTGATCTTTATTGTCTATATGGAGATAAAAAAAGAGGCAATGAAGACATCGACAAATACATACATGAATTGAAGGTATGTCCCAGTGAGAAATGACAATGGAATCGATATAGAATTGACGTCGATTCGATGTCAATTTGATGATTTCAATGTCAAATCGACATCGAATTGATGTCGATTCTATTGTCATTTCTCCCTGAAGTTTATAAAAGTATACTTATATATAATTATATATTCTTATTCTCTAAAACTTTTAAAGTGAATCTTACTCTGAAGAAGTGTATTAAAAAATTAAAAAATTAAAAAAAAAATTCTGAAAAAAATTTAAAAATTCTGAAAAAAATTCTTTAAAAATTCTTAGAACTCTATGAGAAGAAAATAAACAATTTTTGCCTCTTGCAGTTTTTCTGTAAAGTTGATAATATTTGAGTAAAAAATTATTGAAGACTAATTTTTGGCAATTTTTAGTAATTAATATTTTGTTAACTATTGCGGAAATTGCAAAATGGTAGAAGACTTTTCTTCTTAATTTAGTCCATTCTATCCCTGTGCGAAAGATTTGTTATTATTCTCCAAATATCCTGTATATACACATATATATATATAATCTTGTAGTTATTTGTAAATTTATTTTTGCAGTCCTTAGCACAGAATTATATTGATCCAGTAGGGATTATGAAAGAGAAAATTATACAAGATATGAGTACCCAGCAGTTCACAGGAAAAGCTGCGCTTCTCATAGAAAGTAAAGGAGAAAAATTGATACCATATCTACAATCACTAAATTTTTACTACATCGCTATGTTTTGGAAACAATGTGAAGATTTAATGATAAATGAAGAAAAAATCGACAAAATCCCAAAGAATTCTGTCTATGCTAAATCTGCTACAACAGAATTTATACCAATAGAACAGAATCAAAATCAATGTACAACTATTTGGGGACATCGATGTCAATTATGTTTTCCTAAATTATGTTGTGTCCATTGCAGTAAACATTATAAACAGTTTAATTATTACACAGATAATTATAAAGATAAGTACATATATGACTGTACTAAATGCGGAATGAGTCATATTCGATCACGTTGTCCAGCATACGGCGAACTGTGTATAAAATGCAACAAGAAGAATCATTTCTCGAAGATGTGTCGGGCTCCTGTTATAATAAATTGCTCTAAATGTGGTATGAACCATGTAATATCGAAATGTCCAGCATATGGTCAAATATGTCGTCATTGTAATAAACTGAATCATTTGGAAGAAAAATGCCGATCAGCTAAGTTTAAACAGATACAAAGCGTCTATTGACAAATTTTGTCAACAAGAAAGTATATTATACCATATGTATAATATATATGTATATTGGGGACAAACATCACAAAAAATATAACAGGTTTGTTTATATGGTTTGACAGCAGATTAACGGCAGAAATGGGAATGTATGGTTTTCAAAATTGTGCATCACGGTTTTATATCTACATATTTTCAAGTATTTGTTAAGATTCCAGTAGTAACTGCAGCGACCATATTGAATTGTGACATCATAAGTGAGAAATGACATGTTAATATTTGTTATATGTTATTTCTAAATAAAAACAATTGGATAAACCGAAATGATGAGATCGCTTTAAAACGCCTATAAAAATGGGTCAAAGCATTGACGAGATATTATTAAAGACGATCGACGCTTATGGAAATTCGCGTGTTTGTTACAATTTAAGTAATTAATGCCCGTTTTCAGATTAACTTTAATCTCAATTCAACTTACTAAAAGATAAAGAATAAGTTGAGAGAGAGAACCGAAACTAAAATTAATCTACGTTGATGGAAATGGGCATAAGTGTAAGAAACTAATAACGCGATACTAATTTCAATGATTTACAGAGCTGGGTAATATTTAAAATAATTCCATTTTAAATATATATTTAAAATAGAAATGGCATTTTGTATTTTCCATTTTAAGTGGTTTTTGAAAAATCATTTTCATTTTACATTTAAAATGAAATCATATCCTATCATTTAATCATTTGTAAAATAATAGGTAAATGGTTTTCCTATATTTTCATAAATTTTTCCTAGAATTGTTGATGTATAAGAAAAACTAAGTTCCATGATTGGCCAAAGATTTTTATGAATATTTAAATAAACTACAAACTGTAAAAAGAAAATTAATTTTAGATAGTCCATAAATATCGAATCTTAATAAAAATAAATAAATGTTCCAGCTTTATGTAAAATACTATATAGATTTCTAAAAATGTATATTACTCTTAACATCTAATCTTAACCGTAACTGGCACTTCTTATATTAATTTGATTTATTCAAGTATCCCGTTTCCAAATTATAATATTAAAAAATTTTAAATATTCTCATCAGAAATACTTATTTATAGTACTGTAGTCAGGACTTCAAATTTCGTTAAAAATGGATTTCAAACGTAAAATACTTTTAAAAAATGTATATCACCCTAACAGAAAGTTTTTACGATAAACTATATAGATTGAAACAAGATCTTAGAAATTTTTCGTAGATATTTATAATGGGACGTAGTGTTGTTTGAAAAAGCAAAAAATCCTCTGCCTTCAAACAACGTTCTACGTATTCTACGTCACTATGAATATCTACAAAAACTATGGATTTCTGAGACAAACCTCACTGTATGTCTCTTACGAATATTTCCAAAAATTAAAGATTTCTAAGATTTTGACTCAATTTATATAGTTCTTCTGTATTTTTTCGTAAAAATTTTTTTTTCGCTAGGGTAAAAAGAACCATTTTACATTCGAAAACTGTTTAAAATACCTATTTATCCATTTAATTACATTTAAAATAAATTTGAAAAATCCATTTTGCACTTTGCATTTTAAATTCACTTTTTGAAAGTATTTTACAATTAGTATCTTACAATTAGTATTTTAAATTTGAAAGGCATTTTACCCCTAATAATTTATTAGTTTTGAAAATATGTGTATATGATTAAAATTTAATACTTGATTTTTATTTAAAACTGTGATTTTAATGTTATCATACGAGATGTTATCATACGATTATCAATAGAGATGATAACTGCAGAGAAAAAATTGTAATTTTTTGATAACATTTAAGATATTATAGCATTAAAAGTATGCATACTTATTTATATAGTATAGTGTTTATATAAAAAAAAATCACGAATTTATTATAATAATAAATTATTGAAATATTTATGTTAGTGATCGTAAATTTTTATTAATTGTCGGTTATGTCATCGTTCTTCAATTAGCCCCTCAGGCCCTCCGGGCCTTATTGATCACGAAAATTTGCCTAGGACCGACGGTCTTTAATAGTTGGGTCTGTTCAGCCCGATGTCCACGATGCTAGAAATCGGTCTGAGATCTCGGACAGAGAAAAAATTAACAAATCACATTTGAACAATTTGATCACATAACCATTGCGATTGGTCAATTCTTTCTTCATTCGAGGTCTCGAACCGATTTATAGCACCGTCAACAAAGCTTTCGACTTGCTTACACTTTTTTACATTTTTTTACATTAAAAATGAAATAGATATATATTTGGCGTTGAAAAGAGAGAAAGCGAAGATGCTGAGTAAAAAATGTATCGTCAGTGATACCGGCTACAAATAAACATGATACCAGAGAGAAATCTGAGAGAGGACAGGACGGCTCAAGATCTGTAACCGCAAATGCTGCCGCGCATTACTGCCCTCTGACAAAGTGGATGTAAACTACATAACAATGTCCACTTTTCTTAGGATACATCGTCCATTTTTCAACACTGGAGATGATAAATCGATTTGGTTCATATTACATGTTACATGCTACATGTAACACGATTGTATGAATGAAATATCGATTGGGCCGTAATGCGTCGTCTACAATGGGCAGTAAGCAGTAATGGATTAAGGGATAGGCGTAGAAAGCAACAAATCATAGTCGAATGTGAGAAAAATAATTAACTACCATTGGTCGATTTCTACGCCTACTTCTTACATAAGGCCAGTAGCGAATCCAATCTTATAATATCCTTACTGAGTACTTCTTACGATCTTACGTTTTTCTATGTGCTCCCGGCTTAAGCTATACATGGCTTTAAGCGGGGAATACAGACTCTTACATAACGCATAACGCATAAAACAGAGAAATCCAATAACCAATCAGAGTTCTTTATTTCATGGAAAGGAAAAAAACGAAGGACTTTGATTGGTACATTTTCTTATGCATTACATGTTATGCGAAAGTCTGTACTTTATGCTTGCATGCATTGCGAACGTTAAATAAGTGGAACGCGCCTTATGAATGCCGGCCTTAGGGAGTTGTCCCATGAGCGGAAATTTACACCGGAACGGAACAGCGCGACCAATCACAACTCTGCAGTCATTACTCTGCTTTCTTTTCTGCGATTGTGATTGGTCTCGCTGTTCCGTTTTGCTGTAAATTTCCGCTTATGGAACGGTACTCTTAGGGCGCGTTCACATCTATGGAAAAGCACGCACGGAAAGTGCTCGGAAATCCTTTCTTGGTCTGAGTTTAAGTAGTGGTGCACTGAGTGATATCACACATACCTTATTACGCGAGTGAAAGCGACATACTCCAGCACAACTACAAACAATTGCACATTATAGTTGTCTGTTCTTGCACTAGAACTGAATTAGTACAATCATCTCTGTTGATAATCAAACTTTGATGATCGCACTGAAATCACAGTTTTAAAGAAAAATCTAGTATTATTGAGTTCTAAATGCATAAATACGTCCAATAAATTAATAAATCATAAAATTAGTACAATATTTTCAGTTTTTAACTCTTAATTACTTCAATATTCACAAGGACGCCAACTCCCGTAAGGATGTTGGTCTTTAGTATTTCATCGGTGGTACTATTTAAGCCGGAAGCACATAGAAAAACGTAAGGCCATTAGACGTAATCAGTAAGGAAATCATAAGATTGGATTTCCTACTGGCCTTACAGTCTCTATCGTGATTGGGCAATTCGCTTACTAATTATGTCTTACGACCTTATGTTTTTGTATGTGCCATGGGCTTTACTATCAGCGCGAGTTCTGATTGGCCACTGCTTTTCCGCTTTTTGCTTTTCCGTCAAGGTGTGAACGCGCCCTTACATCCACCTTTCCATTACTCGGACTGCGTAACCCGTTCAATTGTTTCCCACGTTCGTGGGCGGTCCGGGTGAGCTGTAAAGCGATACCACGCGCGGCGCCTTCGCCAGCCGGGCATGCGGAGGAGCGCGAAAACGAAGCGGCGAAAGCGCGCGCGGCGTCGCGAGATTTCGCCTCCGTTTCCATCGCCGTTGTCATCGTCGTTTTCATCTTCGTCTTCTTATTTCTCCTGGCGTATTCTCGTTCGGTACTATCGTCAGCTGTTCGACGCTTCAGTAGCGGAATAGAGTCGATCGAGAGTCGAAACGACTCCGCTAGACCGTCAGACCGCCAGACTTCGCCGATCGACGTGACGCGTGTGACGCTCCGAAATCCGGCGCGCCGACCCCGCTGACGTTCCGTTCGTCGATAGACACTCTTGCGTGCACTCGCGTGCGCACGCACGCACGCACGCACGCACGCACGAATGTACGTCTGCCTGCATTCAGCACTCGTAGTGCTTCGTGATCGTTCGTCCGTATGATCTGGTACGCTCGCTCGCTCGGTGCTCCCGCTCGCAGTCGAGAATGACATATCGCGACGCGCGGGTGACGCGCGACGACCACGCACGCACCGAGAGGAGCGTCGTCGAGCAGCGTGATCGCGACGGTTGAGGAAGAAGAGAACCCGGAGCATAGGCCCATCCTCATCGCACGGAATCGTCCAGCCAAGGCTCCGGTCGGACAATGGCAATCTCGAGCTGGATGATGTGGGGTAGAAGCCTCCGCCGATCCCGTCGAAGTGCGTGTATGGCAATTGTGATTGAATCGCGCGATACGTTGCGCCCGGTAATTCACGTCTCCTCTCCTTGTGTCTTTTTTGTTTTTTTTTTTCTGATTGCAGGCCGTCAAGACGAGGACAGCTACGTCCAGCTCGATCTGTCAAGAGGTTAGTAACCTAACCTGCCTACCTGTGAGATCGCGGATCATCCCCTTTTCTCCTCTCCTCCCTCGAAAACTCCGTTGATTATCACCATCTGAGGCCTCTGGCACTTCCGTATTTATTTACCTCTCGCCTGCGCAATGTTGCGCAACCCATTGCTGCGTCTCAACCCCCCACGAGATCGACTACCGGTTCGCCGTGTGTTTGCAACGCGGATACCAACGATATCAAATGTTGCGAATCCCTTGCAATTCGAGAGTTTGAAAACGTATTCATATACTCGGCCTGATCTAAAAAAATTAGAGAAACAGAGAGAGAGGATGACACCAAGATCAGCTAGTCGATTCTACTTCAGACTTTATCTTATTTCCAGATCGGCCCATTTGAGAATATTGCGCAATTACTTTAACTATCGGTTTTTTTTTCGAAAATCCACGAAGCATGATTCCAGTAAACACTAATTAACAGTAGTATAACAGAAATATTATATAAAAAAAAAAAACAAAAAGCTCAAATAAAAATTTAAGTTAATAAATCAAGGGCTATGAGATTGTAAATATTTATTGCTAAACTGTATTTTGTTTTTAATTTAGCAATAAATATTTAGCTAGGCTTGTAGCTCTTGATTTATTAATTA